AATGCCACACCCCCACAGGCATCATAGCCCAGCACTCGGCTTCCTTGAAATCCCCCCTTTGTTGTCCGGAATGTGTGACATGCGATTAGTGGCTTGCGGGCTCCATTCCTAGGGCGAGGAATGAGTGGCTTGCGAATGAAGGCTGGTATGGAATGATGGCTACGCCGGATTTGGATGTTTGTATCTATACCATTTGCGTGAGGACTGAACAATATTTTTATTCAAGGTGGACTTCGGTTTTCACCCCTTCACAATTCAATAAAGGGGACCGACGGGACAAAGGCAGAAACACTGCGCAGAATGTCGGCCAATACCGTAGTCAAGTGTGTTCAGCGCTCCTGAGGATCCTTCTGCTTCAAGACAACAGGGTTTCAAATCGGTGAGGTGATCCCTTATTTTGGGATTGTTCGATCAGAACCAAACTTCGAACCTCCCACCCGTTCCAGGCGATAAGTATGATACTCAAGTACCCGAGAGCAGGGGTTCGCAAAATTCATGAGAAATAAATCCGAGCATATCTCAGCCCTCATACAAATCCATGACCCCTGTTTCCAGATATGTAACGTCAGAGACAAGTGATCGCGCAAAGAGAGCTTTCGTCTACAGTATCGCACTTAGCAGACACTCATGAAAGTTGTTAATAAATTGTTAGAAGTCCTGTATTGGTGACGAATATAGGATAGTCAAGGGTGCATTGAGTTTGGGTATTGTACGGGTAGTTGTACCGGTGCAGCACCTCCGTCCCGGGAGGATGGGCTTCGGGCCAGCCTTAACACACATGCCTGCTTACAGTAAGGGGTGTGCCAAATTCCCCGAGGGGGGTTGGCTTAGTACTATTTGCTTGGTCAAGATATAAGAGCAATTTCTCACTTTGGAAAACACCAACCACTCTTGTTCCAGGAACCAGAAACGTACTTCCTTCCTTGTCCTACCCTTCAAAGAGAGGATAGCACTGCTCGAGTATTGCGCTGTGATGAGCTCTTTCCACTTGATGAACCTTACGAATCTATTTTCTCCAGTACTAGTACAGCGACGTATACATTGCCTCATTCCAAGCCTGAAAGGACCCCTTTCTCTCTCGACCCCTACCCCGCCCCTCGAGGGACAAAGTCGACCAAGTGCCGCAAGACATAGCCTCCACCCAACAATTGCACATGAGGAGGCGGCTCCACGGCATATGCCGATAATGTCGTAGTTTGCATTAGGCCTTGATTGTTTGTGCGGCCAGAGAATCATTGCTCATAACATAGTACCTATCGTTCAGAGTATTCATACTATGGATACTTTGTAACCAAGTTATGTAACTCTCTATTTTGTTTCCGGGCACGGGTGGGGCCCTGGAGGGTTTGCACGGCGCACCCGGGCACTTGCAGTAGGAGGGTAATTCCGGTGTGGTTGAAAACGCGGTGAGGTCTTATGTCGCCTGAAGAAGATTTCATTGCATCCGAGGGGGCAGGGATATACGTACGAGTACAATAGCGTAACTCGATATCCGTGTCAATCACTCCTCGCGCTCCGCACCGGTCATCAGAATACCAAGCGAATGAGTGGAGAACTCCGCAGCGTGACAACGCCGCCGGCGTGATTTCAGACCCTAGTTGTGTCTACCCGTCACGCTCTTGGAGAAACGCATCTGGAACCCCCACCCCAGGATATTAATATTATCTTGTAATAAGTTTTACTCTGGAGCCCCATAACCGGTTTCTAAATTACCCAGAGAAGATCATTGCCCCCCACAGTTGTTGCGATGGAAGCATTTTTAAGCACCTGGTGGTACGTTCGGTGGAAACGCGCGGTCCCGAAAACCAATACTCGTGGGCAGAAAAGCCCGAATGAAGCACCGCCTCACATATTGCTAGATTTCTATGCAAACTGCCGCCGGATCCCCCTTTCTCTCGTCCGGCACATCCCATCCTGCTGGGATGTCAAACATTTCAGTTCTTGTTTGCCCAAGCAACAATTAAGGATCGACATTGAGAGTTTTTTGATGTCCCCTCAATCCTATTGGATATCTCGCTAATGGGATTCTCTGAAAGGGAATAAGTGGGCTCTTGGGCAGTGAGGACAAGTAACGTTCTTATGACATCTCCGCTGCAAGACCCCCCCAGCCCAAGCACCGCTACTAGCGTTAGACTGACATCAATCACGATTTACGAACCCCGATACAGGTATGTACACTTTCTCCCCTAGCATACATATAGTGGGCTATTTGGCTGCAAAGTGTTGATGGACATCTCGCTAGCCACTACCGGCTTTTCACTGCCCCGTGGCAAAGATAATAAGCATTGCGTGAGATTCTACGGTATGTTTACAATGGCATCTACTGTACCTTACCATGGTCGGGTATCGTACTGCGCTCGAGCACGCATTAGCAGTAAAATACCGGTAAGGGCTCACTAAAGCTACCCCCAAGGTGCACTCCCGCGTTAAAGCGACCGGAACATCCCGAAGTGTTGTCCGGGAGCTCCACTTTTCAGCGGCAAAGCAGACAGCCGAACATTGTTGACTGGGTGCCGAGAGCCCTCTCTTATCCCATCCTGAAGCATTAGGTAGTAGAGAAAAACTTCAACCACTCGAGCGCTCGAGTATGATACAATATCCGACATGAGGTACTTGTACCTGAACAGAGGAATCAGAAATTTGTATCGCAGACTGTCTGTGAACATCCAGCGGGCGCCAACGCTAAATTCAGGCTCAAATGTTCAGGCACTTCATGCGGGATGCTTGCGGACTGAATAGTGGAAACCTTACGCCTCTTTGAACGAGGCGTGTCATTGTGCCGCCAGAGGCGCAAGTACTCGTTCTCGCGATCCTGGAAGAAGAGATTTTGGCGTAGAAGCCCTTCGCCCCCTTGTCGTTTCTCCGGGCTCCGGTTTTCCCGATAGAGTTGGGCTTACCAAGGTTGGGAGTGTTGATGATCGCCGTATTGGGGATCCTGGGGGTGATCGACATGGTCGGACAGGGATGATCCACATTGTTCACAAGGGACCTGTGAATCGTTCTCCGTACAGTACCTGGAGGTCCATATCGCAACCACTTGTACTTGTACAAGTACTCGAGTACTACTCCTGCATACAGCACAGTACCTCACCCCGCACCCACATGATCGGTGGTCATAATGTAAAATTTGGAGGTCAGTTTTCAGGTTAAAATACAAGCAACAGCGGCCCAGAGTGAATATCGCTGATGAGTAGCGAGGTGCAATGAATCAGCCAATGGGAAGTTGCTTGTTATCCTCGCGGAACCGGGGAAACATCAATCAACAGAGTTAGCTCTCCTGTCTTTCTCCTCCGATAAGACCTGGAATTGGCGCGTGCATCGGTGAATGATAAATAACCTCTGCTAATTCGATCTTAGCCTTCTTGATTCTCTAAGTTGGAGCCGGAAAGCAAAAAGAAGTGAACCACCCATTTTCAGAACATTGAACTCGAGCCCAACTCCCCTCACTGGGTTTGGTTCAAAAGCTGGGGACCCCACGGCATGTCATAGGATAGGGGGTGAACGCTATGATCGCATGCTGTCCTGCCTTTGTTTTCCCAAAATAGCTCGCTTTGTTCTACCGGTACGGTACTCGAGTACTAGCAACCGAGACGAGAAATAGGGCTCGGCAGGACGGCAGGAACATAAAAAGGAGAACGGGGGGCAGAAACACTATGATACAACAGCTCTTACCAGTAGCTGTCAGATGATGTGCTGCGGGTACATTTTTTTCAGAAAAAGAAAAAAAAAGAACAAAAAGCAGGAGACGGTTTGGATGTCTATTTCGGGGGGGGAAACATGGGAAGACTGAACTCTGTGAGGCAAAAAAAAAAAGGAGAAGGGAAATAGCAGAGGAGTCCGGGTTGCTTAAACGGATGATCGATGATGGACGGAAAGTCTTGAGAAGATTTCGGCTTGGTGCAGCTACGGCCGAAAACCTCAGTGATAAGAAACCCAGATCTCAATCCCAGGAAGGGACCTGAGCCTCCTTCCAGTTCTTATCTGTGTTGAACCCGATAAATCCTAACTCAGAGTCTCTGATCAGAGGTAGAATATCGATTTGCTTCTGACTAATCACTGGCAACTGAAGACTGTTAAGTAGTCTATTATTGGTTTCCGGCGACCAGGCTTAGGGAAGTACAGTACATTTAAACCAAGGGATTTACCCATCCTTCTCGTGCCGTCCATTTTGACATGTATATTCGAATATTATACACCAACGGTAACTTATTGGCATCCCATTTCTATAATAATAATATTATTATGTCGTTTCCGTCGGATTTTTTGAGAGTGTGAGGAAGCGGCAACCATTCTTGTTTAACACTTTACAATACCTACCCGGGGAAAAAGGAATAAAGAACGAAATATATAACAATCATAAGCTCCTATGCGAATTATTTGAACGAGAGAAGTACGAGTAGTAACTACCCTACCTTTTAAGGTGGGAGGATACCGAACTTCCTTGGGCGATGGCTCTTATTCCCAGCGCTTGTGAAGTTTTTAGGCCGGGTTTTGTTACAGCTGGTTTCTTAGGCGTGGTACAGTACCGGTTTTCCCAAGCAGGAATTGAACTAGGCGAATTTCTACTAGGTCTGTGTTACGGTACGCGATGATTTATTTGGGAGCCTACTTGTGATAAAGAGATTCTACTCCATTGTGCACATTACCTCCAGACATCTCCACCCGGAGAAACATCGATGTATACTCCTTTCGAGTTCTTCTGAAGGATTTTAAATGGTTAGAAAACTACTGTCTGTAGAGTAAAGACAGGGGCTATGGGAACCCAAGGCTGACTGGGAATTAGGACCATAGAAATCAAGTTGTTGGCCTAACATAGGAAGGTTAGGGATTCACTTTGATAGGGCTAGCTGTTCTCGGTTGTTTATCCTTCTACCGGTATAATGCTACATTATATCTGCGCAAAGCTAACTAAACCTTTAGTTGGCATGATAAAACTACCATTCATCCGGGTCGAATTATTGAAGTCCCTCTGTCAACATGACGTGCACGGGGGAGCAGAATCTTGCGAATGCACTTGAGTACGGTACTCATATACTTATACAGGTAGTGGGCGGCCCGGCCTTCACCCCGAAATTGCTAGACCTACTTTTATCTACCGGTAGCCTAACCCAAGGATAAACTTTCGCGCCGATGCCTTGCCTCCCGCCTCAGACCCGAGGGGTCGTCGCTTCACACTGGAGTTTCTAAACGATAAACGAAGAGAAACATGGGCCTCAGTCGATTAATTTGGTAGAGATTGTTCGCCCAATAATTAGGTTCCGTGGTTTCTTCCTGTGTTGGTGACAGAACCTGACTCGTACCGGTAGATCAGGTTGGAGGAACGAGGGTTGCGCGAATCGTCCATAATCTCAACTGAAACTTGTGGGACAATCGCGGTACTTCGTCGAGGTGATTGATGGATGACGATAGAGAGATACCTTTCTACCGAATCCTTGGAAAAGGGAGCCCAATGATATCTTGATATTGGGGACCGCGACTTTGGTGCAATCTGAATGGGGTTGATCTCGACCACAGTTACTAATTATACTCTCCTTATTCGTGCACTCGCAGCTGTATAGAAACATGAAAACCTAGTTTGGTAATTCTATGATCGATTCCTTGGCTCATGAGTGACATCTGGCAATTTCTCGGACTAGCGGGTGGTGCTAGGGTACTTGTACAGTACAGTACCTGGTTTTTTCTGCGCGTTTTTGTTGGGTTCTGATGGTTATTATAGCCAAAGTTACATCGTGTGGGACCTCGCCAAGAAATCGCGATAAATTTCTTTTTCGCGCTTTTCTTTCTTTCTTGTGGCTGAAGCGGTACAGTACCGTATTGATATCGCCGTCGTATGCCAATGCGGAGTTTACCTCGCAAGAGCGCGAAAGACCAAAGCTCTCTCTTTTACACACGGAAGTTGAGCCGCGGGCAGCGACCGAGAGGGGATAGCTCATTTGAGATTATCATTAGGGTGCCTATTTCTGGAAATCCAAATCCGAGGCCTAGTCGGGACTTGATCCGCTTTGGGACGTTTTTCCGTTCAATGTCCCAGAATTGCCAGTTGACAACACCAGAACTCCCTCTTGGTACTCGGAGGTCATATCCCTTACGGAAAGAGCACGGTTTTCGCTCACTGTGTTAGCCTAACACTTTCTGCTCCTATCTGCCACCGCCGTACTCATAAAGAAAAGAAAAGAGAAATATTGGTCCCGTGTAGGCGTCCGATTTCAACCTCCCTCCCCCATATGATATCGTTTCCACACCCCCTGTAGCCTTCTGATTGTGATGCCAATACTCTTCACGAGGTTGAGCAAAAGCCCCGCAGGGTTGAGTTTTAGATGGCCAAGGTCTTGCCTGGTCTATATCGCTAGCTACCTTTCCATGCTTTCGGATTCTGGTCGATATTCTGTCCCATCCCCTCCTTACCTTTTTCTTTCCCCTCACCCCCATCGTCATGTCAATCAGGAGACGGACGGGGACATTTTATTGAGTCGAAGGCTCCCGTCGATTGATCTGCTTTCCCGGCCCGCAGCGCATTGCGCACCTACAGCACATACATCCAGCGTCTCAATACTTGCTACCTCCGGCACCCGTATCTAGCACACTACGCTCTCTCACCCACTCATTCGTTTTTAGGTCAACATTTACTTTCGATTTACGGTATACGCGCACCTAGATTCCACCTAACTTGTTCCAAGGAGACCAAGTTATTTTATTTTATATTTTACTTGTCGACTTTTCAAGGCGGCGGAGGGATACAGGTCTTTTAAAATCGGTGGTGTCATAGCAGGGAGGGTAAAAGGGTTGGGAAAGGGACAGGGCGGTTTTTTGGAAGGAGGGGAGAGAAAGAAGGACCGTTTTCATGCATGTTATGCAAAAACTGTTGGTGGACGACCAGATCACGAGTGTGCAGGCAGCATAACTTAATAAACAGGCAACCGACTCCCTTTTGGGTCAATAGTTGCGCTATCGACTTCACTTTTTGTGCTTGGATTTTTGACCCGAGAGTTCATTCGTCTCTCTGGTCCTTTTTTCACTAACCCTCCTCTACGAAGGCTGATCCTGGGCCATCGGAAAGTCTTTACCGCTCCCATTATCCGGATTGAGGTCTCTTCCCATCGGAAAATCCTTCTGGGGGCAAAACCGCTTTGGCTTATCGATAACCTAATCGATTCGTTGAGTGCTGATAGGTTCTGAAACCTATCATAAAGCCACTCTACTTCTCAATGTGTTGCGCTGTGGACCTCCTAACCCGGGGGTTACTGCTTTTCAATGCATCTTCGGTGCTGCTTTTTGTATCATGTCCGTTCTCTAGTGGCCTTATTCGTGCTGGAGTTGTTGGATTTGTGGGCGCTTTGGCGCTTAAAGCGGTGGATACATGGAGGTCAGGGCTTGGGTTTTGGGGCGACTTGGTGGTGATATACCTAGCCATGTTAATTCTGGAGGTGGCGCCATTTGTCTGGAGGACAGTTAAGTGGGGTGGAAGTTGTGAGAGGGAGGGACTGGGAGGGAGGTTCTTGGGAAAATTCAGACCGATTCTTTTCTTTTGTTCAACTACACACGCCAGGTTCTTGCCTAAGGCGCACACATTCAAGTACCCATTACTCTATGTTGGGTTTCCGGTCAATTTCAAAGGCTCGATTGGCGGGCTATTCTCGGTTCTGGATTCAAAGGAGGAGAGGGAGGAGAAGTTGAAGACGGGGGGGAAGGAGAAGAAACGACCGTTTACCTTTTTTTCACTTGACCCAGCGGGATATATCAACCCAGAGCTGCCTTTCGAAAGAAAACTAGACTCTGTGCTTATCCATCATGTACGTTTACGCGATTTTATTATCTTTTATGTGAAACAGATAGGAGGGATGCTAATGTGTGGGTATCAATATATAGGGGATCGACCCATCTCTTTATCCTTATATATACCTCGTCACCACCCCTCGATTTTTTGGGTATTCATTCAACCCGGTCTCCTATTATTACTTGTATTCACCGCAACAAGAGCTCAAGCTTGTTGTGCTCGAAGTCCTCAACACCTTTGGAGAGAGGCATCTATACCTTCTACATGCTGATAACCCTTCGAACCCAGCGCCGAGAAAGGGCTACACTTTTGCGGGGGAGATGGAGAAGACATTTCACATTTCCCCATTCAACCATCGCTCGGGAAGTTACAACATCCAGGTTCGGGATCCTCTCGACACTGCCTCCCCCGCGGCATCCGGAGTGGATATGCATATGGTTGTGATTGCTAGAGATGGTACGAAGAGTATGGTTGCAAGAGCATTTTCCGTATCCCCCTCCTTCGATATGATCAACGGGGGCACTTGTCAGGGGTTGGTTATAGCGGCAACGTGGGGCTACAATACTTTCTTAGCTGTCCCTTGGACAATGTGGGAGGCGTGGAAGCTATACAGGAAGAAGGCTGTTGTGTATACCCGACCCGAGGTTCTGCCAGGAAGCGGGCAGCGGGAAGCTACAAAATCTGAGAGGTTTGTCATTCATCCGGTGGAGGAGGGCAAGGGCAAGAAAGAGGAGAGGACGGGGCTACCTAACAAGGTAAATTCGGGGAAACTAGGCGGCTAACCAATTTTTTAAATTTTTTAAATAGGGATATGCAAAGGTTGTGGCTAGATTACTTTAAGCACAGAGTATCGACATACAACCTTCCAATCTCAGTAACAGTTACTCTACCGGAATCGAACGCAACTAAGGCAGCGGAAAATGTGACATTCTACTCAGACCAGCTGAGCCGAGGTGTTTCCCCCGCACAAGCCGGGGCTTCGGACTCACAAGGACAACCTCCGCCTTTTGGGGAACTAGATGCACCATCGCTATCCAACACAGCGAAATCCCACCTAACGATCCGCGTCTCCAACCCCCGTTTTTTCACACGTTTCTTCTCACACCAGGATCCTCTACAAACAATATACTTAGACATCATATCCCAGCCAGACGAGCGGCGTCTAGCGGTGGTAAATAACTTACCACTATTCCAGGACCTTCTCCACCCCCAACCAAAAGCAACATCAATACTAAAAAACAGGCAACCCCCCATCAAATTCGGCCCGTTCAACATAATTCCCCGTCTCCGACGTCTAAAGACGTCACTAGAGTTGTCATCCCTCAGGTCGGACGAGGAATCTCTAATCCGACTCTACCCTATATCCCACCGAAGCACGTTGGACGAATTCTTCCGGACAAGCCGCAGGTGCCGGAGAAATTGTATGAAGGCGGTACTGGTCGACCTGATTGCCTTTGGGGAAGCCGAGAGTCTGGACCTCTACGAGAAGGTACTGGAAGTCGGTATCTGGAGTGTGTCAATCGGCTTGACCGTCTCGCTCGTGGCATCAATGCAACTTGATATCGGGGGACTTGCCGGGCTCGGAGGCACCGTGTGGAGCTCCCTCCCGCCATTTTCGTGCCCTTTGTCTTGGACCGTTCCCGCTGACCTTGCGGGAGTTAATGCTCCTCTGCTATGGGGTGCTGCTAAGGCTGTGTTCTAACAACGGTCACTCCCGGATTGTTTTTATCAACCGTATACCATCTCTTTGACTTGCGTGGCAGCGTGGCACGGCTGCTTTGCACCCATTGTGTCGATATTCAATTCATTGTCTATCTATTATCCTATTGTTCTTCTGTTCCTCCTCTTCCATTTTTCTCCCTTTAAAATAGCGTTTCGAGTTTTTCTTCGGGGATTTTTACCCTTGTGAATATTTCTTTCATCAAAAACGGCGGTCATTCTGCATCTAGGGGTTCATTTCATTTTTATTATTATTATTTTTATTATACTTTATTTTGGGTTTTAACGTTTCTTTTCTTTTTTTCTTTTTTTTCGCGAACCTAGGGGCCCGGAAATGGCAGGACGGTAAGGAGATTCCTTTTTAAAAAAAGATCATTATTCATCAAGGATTAAGGTTATAACGTTTAATCTTATTTTTCTTTTCTTTTCTTTTCTTTTCTTTTCTTTTGCTTTGGATTGTTTATTTATTTTGTCTCGCGTTGAGAAAGATTTCTAACTACCGTGTCATATCATGCTTGAGATTTCCTTTTCTCTCTCCTCTCCTCTTCCACGATATCTATCATTCACACTTCACATGATCACTATTCCCATCATTTCTCCTTTGTCGATAACATAACGCACTTCACCACATCCATTCATTCCCTCAATCTTCATCTCATCTGTCATCCTCTTCATTTCAATTTCTACTTTATTTCTTTCCTTTCGGCGCTGGAGGGGGCACAAAAAGGGGGTTAGTCATTTTTTCATCCGTCCATTAGCCATCAGCTAAATCCCATGCCTCCCCCCACCGTCATCCCTTGGGGGGGGGGATTTCTTTTCAATTTCATTCTTATTGATTTATTTATTATATCCATTGTTTTTGTTGCATACCTTCTTGTAAATTTTTTTTTTTTTTACTCATCCACCGACACTCACTCCCTCTTCTATCTACTTATGGAGAGAGCTATCCGGGTACATTTTTCCGCTGTCAATACCTTCATGTAGATCCTTGATTTTATTCCTCGTTTCTTTTTTTAACATGTCCATTCCGCCCTGGATATGTATATGGTATGGTTTGTCCGTTTGTTAACTTAGCGTGGGGATGGGTGAAAAGGGTATAAAATAGGAATTCTTGACAAAATTAGTGGAGTGCTGTTTTTGCGCTGGTAACAGTGATCTACCGGTACTGTACCACTACCGGTACACTGCTGTACTTCCAAAAGGAGCAGGAAACAATCTTTTCGCGGTACTCGTAAAAGCACAAGTACCGTAGTTAGGATCCAATTCAGTTAAAAAAAGCTCGTCAGTGGATTAAGTGAGTGAGAAACTGAGCAAACCCCACACTTCCCACCTACTCGAGCACTGTACGCCACCAGCATCCCGCAATACCGCACCGAACGTACTGTGCCGCACCCAACCGAACATGTACTCGTACAGTACGGTAGCGTACATACTAACGCGCAGCAAGCAAGCAAGATAGGAAGGAAGCGAGAACCCACACTCGGCGCCCCACACCATACAAGCCTCCGTTCGCCTGGACTGGGTTGTAGCGGAGTACCATGTTGCACAATACTGCTCCACCACCCGCCGCTTGTCGGTGGGACCTTCTATGGTATAGCTACCGGTATTTGTGACTTCTTTGTTATGATTTGCGGTGCGTCCGCTGTCTACTGTGGCACACTGTCCTTACCGGTATTTCATGCTCGAGTTGGGGCAATTACTCATCCCCTTGCGGGGAAGGAATGAGTGAAGAGAAGAAGGGAGGAAAGGAAGTGGTCTGATGGTGCGGCGGCGGCAGCGGGGGAGGGAGTCGTTGTGTTACAGTCCCGCTCTAGCATGACCTTCCTGGCAGGGAAGGGGATTCGTCATCCTACTGGGTTGTGGGGAGTTGGAAGGGGCGGTGGGTGGGTATTAGTGAAGTATGAGGAGCTTTTTTATTTATTTCGTTTTGTGGTTGGTCTGCGCGATTGTTCTGGTTAGTGGGTACTTGTACTCAAGTACAGTACTGTGCTGTACTGTACTGTATGTGTAATCCGTTGATAGGGAGTGTCTTAAATATGACGGCATGGTACTGTATTCCAACAAGTACAAGCAATGGGGGGGGGGGGTGGCAGGGCCGCTTTGGTTTTGTTCCGCGCGTCAGATTTCTCAAGTTACCTATTCCATCCGCTCGCAATGTCGAAGCGGTTCTTCTCCTCTTCAAGAAGAAAAAAGAACTGCTATTGCATACCATCGAGATTTAGCCCTTTTGCCCGGGTATAGGCGGTATGACATAGTGGTTTCTTTTTAAAACGCCCGGGCATCACGAGTGCCTCACGTGTTGTACCGGTATCCCATTGCGTCAGGGGTTACTTCGACAACTATGCAGCACTGTACGGTACAGTACACCGCTGTACGACCGGCCTCATGTCCATAATACAGCGCAGTACTTGTGTTGCGCTGTAAGCTGTTCAGCATGCTTAGAAAGCAAAGCACATTAGTACCGGCTGCAGCGACCTGTTTTCCCTTTTCCCCCTTTTGGTGCGGCTATTGGTCGGGTAAGCTGTGCTCCTTTGGGACCGGTGTCGTAGGAGTGGGGGAGAGTAATATCGTGCCAAAAGACCCCGCGGTACCCATCCGCGATGGCATGATCCGGGGGCTTGGGATAGCGCCGGCTGCAGTGGTGCCAGTGTCTTTAGGAAAGGCCGCTCGAGTAGCTGGGGGCGAGATCGGGTTTGGTATGGAACATTGCTATTATGATATCATATTGTTCACCTGGTGCTGCAGTCATGCTCGGGGAGTGCTGGTCACGTGATCTGGTGCTTGTTTCCTAATCACCTTATCATGCTGTCTCCGACTGCAGTATTTTACTATCGCAGGAACCCTAGAGCGTGTCAATGACCTGTGTGGGGGGGGGGGGTTGGACGGGGCACCTGGCTGTTCATAAGGCTGTTCAGTGATAGCTTGATGGTGCAGCGGTTGGGGGTTTGCGTACGATAGCTGATTTTAGGCGGGGTTGATGGCCTAGTTTGTTTGTTGATTGAAAGGCGGCAGGAGGTGATGGCCGAGTTCCCACGATTGAGACGGGTAGCCACCCGGGCGCTAGGGCCGGACAGCCCCAGGGAAAAGGACTGTGAATAGGAACGGAGGACTAGGGGTCTTAGAGAAGATGTGGAAGATCGGGGAATTGGATAAATCTAGGGAGTTTCTTGAGTCCCAAACAGGACGGCACGTGACCAAGCACTATAAAAATTTAATGATAATATTACCACATTATTTGGCGAGGGCCGGCAGGCGCTAGTATGTTGAAATAAAGTACCACAGTATTGCGCAATGGTTTCAACACCTAAGACATATCAAAGAAGTGGTTTACTAATCTCTATCTACAAATTCAGTCTCATCTCCATCCTCATTCTGAGGAAGCGGATGTTCTAAATGTTCATCTGAAGGAGTTTCTTCATCACCAGGATCCCCGGGAGACCCCCAATCCTCAATTTCAGTACTCTGTGCCCCATCCTGTAGTCTCCAATTACCAATCACAAGCTTTTGAGGTAAAATACCCTTGATGGATAGCTCAGAATCGCATGAGCCATCGATGGGTAGTGCAAGGCTGACTTTCCAAAATGAAGTAACAATTACTTCCCTCCAGGTTGTGCAAAATGTATGCCATGCTTCAGCTAAACACTTCTGAATTAAAACCCGCCTCTCTTCCATTGCACTTGCTTTTCCACTCTCATGTAAATCCTCTCCAGTCCTTTGCTCATAGAGTTCCATAGTATCTTCTACTAGCACACGTAGGATATCCTTAAGTGGCTTGTTGATAGCAATATCAAGAGGTTGCATAAGGCCAGTACATCCAGCAGGAATCATTGCCAGAACAATATCATGTGAGCGTAAAGTATCAAGTACAGCATCTGTTTTATGAAACTTCGCCATGTCAAGGGCTAGTAGTCGAGGGCGTCTAACGGGAAGGCATGGTACCAGCATATCTGTAATCCAATTGACTAGAATACTTTCGTTGGCATAGGTATTCGGATTAAACATAACACTGACATGAGAATTGTATCGAGCAACCTCTGCTGCACGTCATCGTATATTGTGCGGTCGAGTAAGTACCTCAGCACCTTTGAATAAAAGTAGTAGTTTTATCCACATTGCATCATCTGCAAATATACACAGGATAATCATGGCCTGGCACTTATCCCAGCCACTCTTAGTACTAGGTACTTGAACAGTATGACTTCCAGTATCAGCATAGGTTTGCCTCTCGAGGAATTCGAAGAGAACAGGAGTCTCATCCATATTGCAAATTGCACTTAGGAGATAGCGGCCAACTACTAAGGGTTCATCTTTTTTTGCAATTTGTATTTGGGCATTACGTCTCACAAATCGCACACAGTTGAGACAAGTATTAAGATAGTCGGCAGGAAGCTTTTGAGATTTATTGGTAGGAAATTGTAGAGTGATGCTGTGCCGCGATAAAAACCCAAAAAACCACCCATTGGAGAAGACAAAGTCACTAATATCCCTCGTTGGATAGCAGAATTTAAAACATTTCCCTGCAGTACGGCGAAGCCACCCCCACCGAACAGCCTTTGCTTCATCCTGCCACTCTCTATAAGCTTTATGAAGCATCTCCTCCAACTCCGGCCACCAGCACTGCCTTGCGCCTCCATTGGACTGAGATCCTTTAAACCCATTCACAATTGCCTCCATAGTAGCTGGCTTTTTCCATCCTTGCAAGGTGGAGCGAGGGACAAGATAGTGAGCAGAAACCTCAATCTCAGTAGGTAGATGAAAAGTTGTAGGGCCCATCCAGATTTGAGAGTGCTGGGAATAGGAAAGAACTTGGAGTTTAAACTCTCGGGTATATGTCCTGTGAACTTCTTTTTGTGCCTTAAGGACTTTCCTGGATTTAATCATTACTGACTCTGAAGTGTGACCGGGCCGTTTGATTGATCTCCGCATCTTTTGTGATACTGGAGGTTGACGAAGCTCTCCCAGAATCGGAACTATTGGAGCAGAGGATTGAATGGAGGCTTGTTCCATTTCTGATATATGGGGCAAATCGATGAATGGCTATACTTTCCCTGTGTAGTACCACATATGGTACCCTCTTGTACTTGAGAAGAAAATTTCCTGAGTCATTCAACGTTGAAAATATCCTCTGTTGTTTTATTAATCATTGTCTTAGGTTCCAATCTACGGTTTCACCTCAGCTGTCTCTTTAATCTGACGTACTAGCGCCTGCCCGCCCTCGCCAAATAATGCGGTATTATAATGTGATTACGTTTATCATACGACCGTTGTTACGCACCGGGTGTATCTGCAAACCATTACTAATGTAGCTCTTTTTGTCTAGAATTCAAAAGGCTTCCTTCACATTTGCACCAGCACTTGAGCACCGTACTAGGACTTCCAGCCTTCTCATATGGTACTTCCAATGAGCTCCCCACTTCTACCCCTAATAACCCTGAGAAAGTTACCTGACCTCGGCAATTAGGGCCGAGTCTGTACCCGTCATACTTGCAACAGTTCCATTCGCCTGCCCCTGGTACATTTGACCCGTCCCACGATATCAACTCTCATCGTTTTACGGGGAAACCCTATGACACGCTGCCGGTAACAGTACTCGGGTACCGTGTTCTGACCCACCGAGAAATGTTTTGGAGATATCGTAAAGGGGAGGGAAAAAAATGCCACTATCACAAGTATCACTTTTTGGCGCATAGGTACCGGTATACCGGTACCGGCCCAAACTCTCCAAATAGAGCCATAGCCCGTCCCATATTATAGTGGGGAAAAGCCTCCCAACACTTCCCACTAGCTGGCCCCACCAGGAGAATATGGCCCGCCTATCTTCTTGGTCTTTTTGTGCCTGGTGGGAAAAAGCATTGACGGATTTGCAAATTCTTAAGGCGCTCGAGTACGAGTACAGTACGTTGCTCGAGATACCTGGGCGCCTTGGCCGAGATGGCTAATTTGGCTGGTAGGGTTTCGCCTGCTCCTGGTGCTTGCGCCGTGAAATAAGTTTTCCTTGTAATCTGTCTCGGATTTGCCTGAAAGTGCCCTTCCCTTCACATTTTATGGCCTGTTTTGGGCTCTTTTTGACAGGATTGGATGTTCTACCTCAGCACCTACTTTATTTCAACGTACCGTACAATACAAGACAACGCAAGCTGCAGGCGATTATTGCCAAACAATGCGGCTGGCAGTGTGTGCGGGAGTAGTCTACGGTACTGTACTTTTCTCATGTCTCTGAGCCAAGAGCCGAGTCCGTCTGCCACTTTGTGGTTGTGACCAAGGGTGCCAATTCTTGGCGCGGAGACACCTGTATGTACTAGTACTGTACTTGTATCAATCCATGCCAACATGCCCGACCACCGGTAATGTGCGAGTGCTCGAATAGTGGGATTATGGAGTACGATTGAAGTTCAGAGTTTTATATTCCCCCCTTTGTTCCTTAGTGCATACCCCTTCTTCCCCCTGATCATCATGACAGAGTACTGTACCCCGATTAATTCCGGGAACTTTGCGACCGTAAATTATCCTTCCGATCAAGCTCCCCTATTCGCATCTTTTTAGAGGGTTCATTTTGCTTTTTTTCCCCCGAGGATTCCAACAAGGTTCTCAGCGACGGGTTGCAGGTCACACGGAATGGCGGGTTCGGCTTGGACGATCGGGCTCGTATCGGATTTGGCTTGGCTGATGCGTATTTGGTCCTAGCTGAACCCTTGTGCATTCGCGTGGGACCAATCATTGTCGAAGGTCGGCATGCCGAGCCTTCGCCCTCTTTTTTAGGCTGCCAAGGATTTTTGAAGCGTGGTCCTGTGGGCCCGGTTTATGCGCTGTCCTTCTGTTCCGTTGGTACGGGTTGTTCATGAGCGGGGCTTATATTTGGATCCCTTGGCGGCCTCGGCATCGTGGTTGCGGTCGCGGTTTGTGATACGACCACGCGGGTTTGCTATGGTAGAGATAAATTGAAAGGAAAATAACTGGAAATAGGGTGCGGGAAGGAAATTTAAAGGAGTCCTGAAACATATTGTGGGTCCGTCGGGAGTTTCTCAGTAGACTCTGCACTACCGCGTAGGAAATGGCCGAATGCTCACCCTTTTCCCGCCATTTTCTTGGCAAAGGTCAAGCTAGATTTCGCGACGCCTAGCGGCCTGTATACCGAAATACTGCGGTCCCGGTCGGAACGTGGGCGCGTCTTGAGCGTTCGGGATTCACTCTTTAGGGAGGAGGGGTTTCGATTGGCCTGGCTGGACGGTGGCTTTCCCGGGTATATTGGAGGGTAGGTTGTGCGGTACTGGGCCCATCCCAGATCCACCCACTCTGAGCAATTGAGACGGTGGATGATCAACATGCAGTTCTGCTGTGTTGCGGTGGCATCCTCGACTTAGCCATGCCTGTGCGTGCATGCCTGGCTAAAAGTTTATTCCTACCTCTTTCTCTGCCCTTTCAGACTCATGCAGCCTGTAACTCGCGCAGGCCATTTTATCCTTTTCTGCACATCTTATGACTTCAACCGGTGACATTGGATCGTGGCCTCCGAAATTAATAGGATTGGTTGAAAAGCGGTCTCGTGTCGATCAATCTGATTGAGTGGTATTGGTGTATTTCCCCAGTGTGCCTGTGCAGTGTATCTTTGACCGTGGAGATACCTCATGAGCTCTCACTCGCCAAACCATTTCGTAGTGTTGGAAATCTTCAAGGTCACAATCAGACATTCGTGACTGGCATTAGTTTGATAAGTTTCATCCGGATTACCGCGGTATGCAGTTTTTCTCACATGTCCGGACAACGCGCCGGGTCTTTTGATTGACTTTAATTGAACAGCAAACGTACCGGTTGCCGCTCATCCATCGACTTTCTAGGAGGAAAAGAGTGCCATCGGGGGTCGTTTGGCCTGCCATCGCCTTTCCCCTCTCTCTTTGGTGGAGGTGAGCATCGTATAAAACTGGATCTCCCGAGTGACTGAATCTGAGCCAGCTAGCTTCCTCGAGTGATACTAGTGTTGTCAAATCGTTTACCTGATGCACTGTGTTTGCTTCCCTGATCTGTAGCTGGGGCGGTCTACCTGACCTCAAGCTGTTAAGCGTGATGTCGCTACATGCTGGACAAAAACAGTCAGGGGTAGGTATTCGGTATATGTAGTCATCTTTCGATCGCTTTTGGGCGGACCTGGCGACCTGGCGATGGTCCATTAGGGATCCTGGGCGAGTGAGATGTTGTGAGTGATTGGCAGCATCCCCGGATTCAACGTTATCGGGGGTGGTGAAGTGATTAAGTATTGTCAGGGAGGGCTTCCCTTTTTGGTCAAACCCGTTGGTTATAGTCGTAGCGGCTTTATGGGGGTCGCTTATAGGTGAGCGGGCATAAAATAGGAACTACCGTACTTAGGCTAACGATTTACGAATCACGTGGGCGTCTGGGTCGCCGTCAGGTCAATGGCGACTGCTATTTTCTTATAGATTTACCACCGGCCAGGCGAGGGGACCCCTATATCGAGTGCGGTACTGATAAGAAAGTTCGGCAGTTCCTCTATATTTCTCCCGGAGGGGGAATAAGGGGAGTCACGTTTTTTCGGAATACTAGAGCTTTCTCTCGATAGGTTTGCTCGCCCCTGCTAATTTTTGGCGGAACTGGTTGTGTTAGAAAGCCCCTACTAATGTATTCGTGTTCTATCGGGCTTTTTCTTGCACCTTCCCTTATTACCTCTTGAGCGGGCAATCATAAAGAACCAGAAAAGAGCACGGACGTTTCTGCGACTGCTAAGGATATGTGTGCAACATCAAAATACGAGTGACTTTGGCGGACGGCAATGGGTCTCATGACGAGTGAATTCCTGCTCGAGTACTGAAAAGTACTCGGACAGCGTGCCTTTATGCATATGCGTGATAAGTACACGTGCCGCACTTGGATTTCGAGAGATTTCTGCTGCCTCATGCCAATAAGCAACTTATTGGACTTATGGATGGTCTAAGCCTTGCTGGAAACTGGCGGGTGACGTTGGGCAACATTCTTGACGGGATTGCTAAGTTGTGTTACCTGAGATTGGCATGCGAGCAAGTTCGATACTCCTCTAACTGCTCTGATATTCCTTCTGCAGGTGCTTGGTTAGAGAGCTGTCGAGGTTTCACAAGTGCAAAAAATTGCCGATCCTTTGCATTGACTTGTATGAGGTGTATGCTGGTGTGCTCGCTCGGTCGGACTATAGCATTTTGAGATAGCCCTGCGTTTGCGGTTGATCAACGTCTTGCATCAACGGCGCTGTAATCAACCAGTGAGTGTAATCTCTGTTGCAACTCTTCTCAAGTGAGAAATGAAAAAAAGGAAAAAAAGGAGTCAAGACAAAACGTGCGAAAAAGAAGTCCCCTAACATTGTGGGAGTAATTTTTTGGAGCCTGGGATAGAGTATTGCTTCTTGAAGATCTGGAAGATGAAGGAAGTTGTGACACGCATTCCATCCCGTTGGTAAGTTGATATGGAGTTAGATGTGGAGTACTCTAGTAGGATCATATTTCATTGCAGGCAACTCGCCTGATTAGCTAGATTCAACCGTGTTAGCAACCAAGATCATTGGTATGATAGTCGCCAAGATTATCTTTGCTTTGTAGGGTTCGGGCTCGCAGGTTCTTTTAGTGATAACATTATAATAGGGAGTAATTGCACTTTGAGGCAAACACCCTTTGCTTCCAATTCATGTTCAGGGAATGGCATCGATAGCGAGCGCTGCCCAAGGAGAGCTCGCATGCGACTTTTTGAACCACTTGCTGCATACCTTTGTCCTGGGATTGCACGAAGTGCATCTGGTACTGTATAATTTCATGAGTCGGGTTGGAGGAGGGCAGGAGGATACTACGGCAACCGAACCAACAGGAGGGCCCAGGGGCCACCAACCAGTCATAGTTCAAACCGATAGAGAGCAGCGATTGGGCGTATTTGTTAAGGGATACTCGCCCCTACCCGACTACATTGCCTATATTGCCGATCGGGATGGGCGCATATATACGGCAGCGCTTTGGATCCGTCGTATCCCCGGGATGCATTTTCGGTCATCTGGCTGGGAATAACTCTATGACAGTTGGTTTGTTATCGCTTACGTGCTCCTACCTAAACATGAACTCCCTATTTCGACTTTGCGGTCTATAGAAACTCTGGGAGCACCTAAAGCTACGGCCAGTGATTATGGTATTAGCGGATGGATGGAGTAACGGCACAGCAGCGCAAATGGCGTTGATCCTAGTATCTTTGCCAGGGAGGGGTAAATTCACCTGGTCCTACGCTGCGGATGCACCCCCCTATCGTGAGCACCCCCTATGCTCGGCTCCGGAAAACTGGCAATCGAGAGTAAGTTTTGACGAACGTATTCCCTGTGAGATGGTTACGGCTGAAGATTTCCTCGTCAAAGTAAATACTTACTTTATCGAGATCTATCCAGTTACCGGGAATATATCTGAGGTATAATAATTCCTAGCGCTCACGCAGAGGAACCGCCACGTCCCGTAGGAACAAAGCTGATCATGTTTAATCACTCGGCCAACGGGCTTTCTAGCACTTCCATGTTCTTATCCGGCAGGTATGCGCTGGCACAGAGGCCTACCCGTGCCTGGAGTCAGAAGCATAGGGCTTAAATGACCAACTTTTGTCAGCTGACACCGCTGGGATATCTCTGCGGTAGTTGTCCAGAGTGTTTTTCATTAGCTAATGCATCCGTTTTGGCACACAGAGACATGAGAAAAATCCTGAAGTGATTGGTGAAGGGCTTTTAGCTTGGGCACATGCACACTTGACTTGCTATAATAAATGGGTGAGGTCTTGGGCTGGGGTATGGCCGGGCATGGCTAGGGGGGTTTTCGGAGTCTGTGGTTAAGTTACCCCGGGTTCCGATGTTCGGGCCCTGACCCCCAACTCGGCCAAATGAAACACGGAGCCGGGGTTTTGATGTTGGAATCACAATGGCTGAAAGTACGTAGGTACCCGTATGATACCGCTCTTGGAGGTCAGAAGTGTAAACGCTCAAAAGTTTATGTGCTCTAGTGGATATCTGCTGCGCGACTCCAGCTGGGCGAAGTAGGAATCTCATGGGAGATTTTTCTGGGCTAGTGGTAGGGCGAAGGTAATCTCGGAGATAATCCTCAACCGTTAAAACTTTAGGTCCTTATTGGCTTTCCAGCGGATCTGGAACAGCGTGATGGCTCCAGCCTTCCCGTTCCACAGGAAAGTTTTTTCGAATACGCAGCCAACTCGCTGTTCGTTTGTTAGTCGGCATAGTACCGCTTCATGATTGTGGGGCAAAATAGCCCAACGTACGGCAGAGGAGCTATAAATCTGTGATAATTCTTGGCGTGAGGTTGGATCAGGTGTTCGCGCCTGGGATCTGGAGTGAGCCGAGGATCACCTATAGCTTGCGGGCAAGTCCGTTGATCAGCGATGCCAAAGATGTAACGAACAAGGTTGAAAAATGACTCGCTACCACCTGACTTGGTCTAGATGAATTTCTATCCGACCGCTTGACAATAACTGCATGTCTCTAGGGAAGTCTTGCAGAAGTGATAACTCATGAGAAGTCACTCGTCTTGGCAATATGCAGATTTACTGCAGTTGGTGTTTTTCAATAGCTGTTCCGGTGCATCTAAGAGGATAAAATACAAGAAAGAATGGTGGGGAAGCTGTGGGAAAAAGGGAATCAATATGCGAATGTTGACCACATGGTAGAGCCCGCATAGGTGTTGGTCGAGAGAAAACCCAACTAGTGTAGGCTTCCGGCGAAGCGAGGTTTAGTTTCAGGGAGTTCGAAAATAGGGTAGGTAGGTCGAGTGGAATGGGTTGTCCGATTCTGGGCCTAGCCACTGACAATTCAACTCGATTGTGTAATATGCAAAAGAAGTGGGGGTGAACAATATCAATGCAGGTGGCGTCATCATGGTACTGGTATTATCATTTCCATAGTCCAGCGCAGCAAATTCACGCAAGGTTTGGATTGTCGGCCAATCGTCGCACCTACGATTCATGAAAGGGTAGCCCTAAATGTGTAACTCTTCCAGAAAATAGGTGAATTGGTTGGGAGTAAATTGGATTATCATACGGCAGGCCCGGGTGGGGTGAAACCCTTGTTCATATTGGGTTAGAGAAAAGGCATCAGCACCGGCCATCGAATTCGAGTGTTATAGAAACGACACAGGCCACTCAAACAGAGTTTTGATGACATACAGAAACCACACTCGCATGATGTGCAGCCCCACCAGCAATCCAATAAACCACTCCTCTGCTGGAAGGCGCAAAAAGGGTTGGGAAACAAAATGAGTAAACAATCACACCGACTGTAGCACCACTCATTCGTCGACCGTCGGGGAAGTGGGAGAATTGGGAGAAGTGGGTAGCGTAGGAGCAATATTAGCCACATAAGGGGCCGAATATGAACAGCCAATGAAGAATCATATCCTCCCTTTCGAATCGAATTTTCAAGGGATAGCCACATGATGGGTTTTGTGTAATGCAGCGGGTACCCGCATGAGGGGGTACGAAAATATAGGTTGGAGGTTGGAGGCCAAGGGGGAGGGGAAAAGTGAGCTGCTTGGAGAATGTATTTGCCGAAGATGAGACGGTCGTTGTTGGATCGACGAACTGAAGTTCTTGTCGTGCACGAGTTGGTCGATAGTGGGGGGTTTGTGCCCTTTTTTTTTTTTTTTTTTTTTTTTTTGCGTGGGCGACCGAGGGGGGGATGTATGATACCGTAGGGCGTAGTGTTCTTTGGTAGGTATGATACAGTACTGCGAAGACGAGTGATGAGGGATTGAGTTGGGCGATAACAGTAATGCTAGGGACACCGTTCAGCGCTTGATATATTCACGGTTTGGGTATATATGTGTATGATAGTAGATTTGTTAGGACACGAACTTTTCAGCACGATACTGCACATTGCGGTATCATAGGATTTGTTTGAGGAGGGTTATCCTAATTGCTAGGCAGAGACTGGAAATCTGTGACCCGCCTAACCCAACAAAGAAAATTCCAAGCCAACGCAGCTTGCGAGAGCAGCGAGCAACCGGCATCTCGATGCAGGGTTGATTTCGGCGCGGCATCGACACAATGAAGAAGGGTTTGAGTTTTTTTTTTTTGAATAGAGAAAAAAAAAAGTGGTGAAAATGGGGTTAAAGAGGAAGGAGGAAAGGTATAGAAAAGATAATTAAAAATATGAATAAATAAATAAAAAATAATTTAAGAGATTTTCAGCCCTTGGTCCGACAACCGAGTGATGGTGCACCAGTCATCCAAATAATCGTCACCTCCTTTCCCCTTCTTCTAGTTCTTCCCTTTCCTCTACCACCCCTCTAATATAATACTGTACATTTCTCCTCTTCTCTGTTCTGCTCTCCCGCTCTCCCCTCATCTTTCTCTCCTCCTCTGCTATAAGTTGGTTTTGTTGTTGTCGCTGTAACTGCGTCAGCAGCAATAATCGGGAGTCGGGAGTAGCGGCAACAGCAGGAGAAGATACAAAAGGCAATTGACCCACTGATCTCGAGCGAATTCGGTAAGAAGGGCGAGGTGTTAAGTTAGATTCCTTCTTTCCTTCCTTCCTTCCTTCGTTCCTTATTAACTCTGCCTTGTCAGTCGTCACCAACAGTAGCCGGTCAGTCAGTCTGACTGTCAGACGTGTGGGGAAGGAGAGACAATCGCTCAGAAGACTTTCTAGGGCATCGGGTCGCCTTTTAACCCGTTTGAGCCTCCCACTCGGCTATCGACCAACTTCTTCCCTTTTAACTTTTTCTTTGCATCTTTTTTTTTTTTTTTTACAATTTCTACATCACATCACAACACCCCCCCACCAATTTCTTTTATAGTTCAACTTTACTTAACCCCATTCCTTCCCTTCTTACCACACCGCCCCTCCACTCCGCATCTTCCCGATAGCATAGCTGTTGCCGTGAAAATACCCTTTGTTCGAATCCTCTACCTACATTTGTAGATAGAACTACAATTTGGGTCCAGGAGAAAAACAATTGGAAAGAGGAGAGAAAAAAGAGATTTCTTTTGAAAACATAATCTTTTTTTTTTTTTTTGCCCCGCTTTTAACTTATTTTTTTCTTCGGTTTTTTTCCCCTATTGGGTGCTCACGCGACACCTACCAGTATTTCATCATGGTGAAGCCGGATCCCGACTCACTAGGCGAGACAGCTGCCTCAACAACGGCTACAACGACGACAGCGACGACTACGCCGGCAACAGCAGCAACGGCAACACCAACGGCAACACCAACGGCAACACCAACAGGACAGCAATCTCCAGCGGTACCTCCAGCTCCAAGTGGTAACATAGCATCGTCAAAGGACCCGGGTCGACCCAGGAGGAAGAAGGCGAGGAGAGCTTGCTTCGCTTGTCAGCGCGCCCACTTGACCTGCGGTAAATTTAACCAATCCCTTCCCTCCCCTCCTTTCGCCTCACCCCGCATATTTGCGTTTGACATGTGACTAAAGGATCCTTTTGTTGTAACGGATTTTGTGGGTTTTAGGTGACGAGCGTCCATGTCAGAGGTGTATTAAGAGGGGTCTTCAGAACGCTTGCCACGACGGCGTCCGCAAGAAGGCAAAGTACCTACACGACGCACCCATTGATGATGTATCCGAGTTCCCCGGGGGTTTCGCTACCTACCCGACGCATCGCGTTCCTGGGAACATAAACACGGATATGTTGCCACCAGATGGGACCATCAATCCAGGGTCGATTCAGTCTCCGGGGTTGCAGGAATCGTCGCCGACGAAGGGGTCTGCTGGTGGTGGGAATACCGGTGACGGTGGGAATGGCGGGGGAACCGGGGGGAGTGGGAATGGTGGAGGGCGTGGTGCCGGTGGTGGGAACTTTCCCGGAACTCCCCTATTCGACCCGAGTGATCCTGCCTTCTTCAATTTCGACATTGCGAGCTTGAACTTCGGCAGTCAGTACGGTGCCCTTGAATTCGGCGTCCTCGGCCGGATGAGCGGGCAAGCTGCCGACGCTGATGACGGGAGCGTAGGCAGCTACGCATACTCACCGAGCATGGGGACCGGCGAAGGGTATGGAGGTTTCTCGGCTCCGCAAGATGACCCGCCGCACTATCGCGATAGCTGGGGCAGCGGTCATGGGGGGCGGAATTCCGGGGCGGGTCACAGTGTCGGGTTTGCGGGGACCTACATGATTGAAGCCGGGCCGGGGAGTCTCACCAGCCCATCCCCACCGGTGGAGTCCCCGCGACAGAATTACATTCAAAATACCGCGCAGACAACAGCTGGCTCATCGAGTTACGATACAACGGCGACTAGTGGTCCTATGAGTTCTCCATCGTTCTACCAATCGGGTGGGCACCATCGCCCTTCCACCCTCCAGCAGGTGCAATCTGCATCCACAGCCCAACAGCAGCAACAGCAACAAGTCCCACAAGTCCAAGCCCCCATGCGCCGTCGCAGACTCCCGGAGGACCCCAGCCAGATCTACAGCTCCATCACAACACCATACCCATACACACTCCACTATCACCGCCTCTTCCACATGCTCGAAACCCGTTTCCCCAAACCTCTCCTTCTACGCATCGCTCGGGCAATGGCCTCGTTTCGCCCTTCCTTCATCGCCTGCACACAGACGCTCAAAGCCGACGACCTCCTCTTCATGGAAAAGTGCTTCCAGCGAACACTCTGGGAATATGAACGCTTCATACAAAACTGTGGCACACCAACTCTCGTCTGCCGACGCACAGGGGAGGTAGTCGGCGTCGGCAAGGAATTCTGCATGCTTACGGGCTGGGAGAAGCAAGTTCTCCTCGGCGAAAAGGCTAACCGAAACACGAATGTGCCCGTCAACGGTGAAGTCGTTAACTTTCCGCCGCCGTCTGTCGACGAGTATGGTCATGGTGGCGTTGGTGTCGCTGCCAGCGGTGGCGGTGGGGGAGTTAGCGGCGGCCTTGGGGGAGTGAAGAAACCCGTATTCCTGGCCGAGCTCCTCGACGACGAGAGTGTTGTTGAGTTTTATGAGCAGTTTGCCCGATTGGCCTTTGGCGACTCGCGTGGGGCTGTCATGACAACTTGTAAAGTGCTCAAGTATCGCGCTGAGAAGGACGACAGTAAGAAGGATGGCGTGAGGGAGGCCCGTGGCATGGATGGCCTCGGGGCGAAGGACGGGAAGGTTGAGTGTGCTTTTTGTTGGACCATTAAGAGAGATGTCTTTGATATTCCGATGTTGATTGTTGCGAATGTGAGTTTCCTTCTACTTCCCTTTCTCGTTTTCTTCGTGGGATGGGTGGGGGCTAAGGGTGTATAGTTCCTACCGATTCTTCCGAGACCGGCGCCTGAGGGGGGGAAGTAATTTTGTTTTCTTACTTTTCCTTTCTCTTTTCCTTCTCTTTTTGATGGAGCCGGGTGTGGTAGTGCTGTGTGTACGATTCTGTGTGTTTTTGTTTTACCGCTCTGATTGTGTACGCTTCGTCAGCTACCTATTTGTTTTATTCCCAGAAGTGGCAGGATGGAATGGGAGCAGTACACGTTTTGTATTTCTCCCCTCCCACCCCCTTCGACTATCGCTTTATTTTCAATTTTGGCTTTTCATCCCTTGTACTTGGACTACAGTGCGCAGCTATAGACTCCTGAGAATCTTTTTCCTTTTCACTCTCTCGTTTTATAACATTTTGGTCTTTGTGGTTAGTTAGTTAAGGTTAACTTCAATTTCTGGTTCGCGACTTGGGTCGTGGAAATGGTATAGCACTCAGTGTTTGGATGAGCGAGCGGCCTCATTCTACTTGCCCGCCCGCCCGCCCGCTTGCCGTGGCAATATACCGGTACCGTACTCTCTGCATTCGCATGTGCTGCACCGTATGCCACTCACTACGTATATGGCCACCCAAATTTTCTTCTTTTTTTTTTTTGTTTTGCTGCACCTTGCTTCATTTCCTCCTCCTACGCTCGTCCGGCGAATTTATCTCAGCTGCCAATCCGTGATGCCTTTTTAAACCCTGTGTTACTGTACGTACAAATACTCGTACATTACCCGGGTACAGTACACCAGTCCATGTGAGGGAAAAATGACATTACAAGCTCTGGTAGCTCAGGGGTTAGAGCATGCGATTGCAGATCGCAGGGTCGATCGTTCGAATCGGTCTCAGAGCTGTTTTCTTTCTCTTTTTTTTTTCTTCCTCATCCTTTGCCACCTCCCGTCTTCGTACTGTACCGATACTCCGTTTATTGCGCAGCACGTTACCGGTAAATTTAATGCGTGTGCTGGCTGTGAGGTGCCAGGGACTACGGTATTGCCAGGGTCGGCCTTCAGAGGATTGGAGAAGTGGGGGGTTGGGTGCCGGGTGTTGTCTGGGCGGGGTACTGTGCGGTGCACGGCGCTTCAAAACAATACAAGTACCGGTAACTCAATCGGGCTGGCGGAGTGTACGGTATCATATTTGTGACCGGATGGGAGCTCTTGATCGGGATACTGGTATATAGACTAGGGTACTTGTGGACATATTCCTCGTGGAGCTTCTGATACGGTAATGTCTGCAGTGATGGTGTCGGGCTTTGCTGGGTTAGACTACGGTATTTGGACTCGCGTCTGGCGATAAGTTGCATCCGAAAGCACCGCTTCGTTACGTAACCACCCTATCGGCGGGAAAATAAAAGGGGGACTTTGCCTGGTTTTCGGGATAACCGGTACAGTACAGTAGTTCATAGACCAAGTACGATAATATCATACCTCGGCCTCTATCCATCCATTCCATCCATCCGAGTTCGAAACGGGAGGAAATGGGCACAGTACTATGTACAGTACAGTACAGTACTCGTACAGTAAAAGACCGTTGGATTTCTCTGGGGAAGGGGAGGAAGTAGAGAAGGAGAGAAGTGTCACGCCTAGTCTATATCGCACTGTACTGTACTGTACAGTACTCGTGCGTGCGATTCCAACCATTAGATTACAATAATAATTCGCATGGAGTAGTCTGCCGGTAAGGTAATCGGTGATCCGAACATTCTAAGAGTTATGGTATAATATCAGAGATCCCGTATCATACAATACAATAATAGTTATAAGTATTTCGTTCTGATGGGTTGGGGTTGGGGGGGTTGTGCATGACAGGCTAAGGGGCGGTTTAGTGAAATACCTTAACGTGCCGACACTATCACCGTTATACAGTGTATAGTGACTCAGCACGTTGGTGAATACCTTCGGCGCGACTACATACTAGTAGTACCGGTACTGCTCCACCCCTAGGATAACGATTGACCGGCTAACCTGTGAGCACTCGGTGGGTTTGGGTAGAAACGAGATTCTTTAGAACGTGCCTGGCTAGATAAAAAAAAAAAAGACTCACATTCCCTTTAATATCACGATGTGATAATACTCTACTACCGCTTACTTGATTACCCCCCTTCCACCTCTCTTTGCTGGCGCGTGATTGGAGTGGTGCTTTTTGGGATCTTGCGAGTAGTGGTGTGTTCGAGTATATACCGTGGGGTTGATTGAATGTTTTGTTTGTGGGTATTATACGGGTGGGAGGTTCTATAGTTTTTTAGCCATTTAGAGGGGCTGGAGTGGAGTGGAGTTTGAATCGTGATGTAGACACGGGCTTCTAGTGTGGTTGCGCATGGTGGGGTTTGTTGAATATATATGATAATATGCAATATTATGATTATGATACCCTTTATACTTTGAAGCGCTGGGTAAAGAGAAAAAGAAACTTATGATATAAGAAACATTAACTACAATCTACGAGTACCCGTCTCACCCCCAACAGTAGCAAACCTACTCCTAGCCCTAATATCTTTCCCCCAGACAAAAAAGCAAAACATAGTCGGCGCCATCGCCAGGCTCAAGAACCCGAGAAGACTACTGGCCCACTGGTACCCTAGGCGTTTATACATCTCTGTACTAAAGAGCGGGAAACCGGCGGCGAATGCGCTCCGAGCAAAGGAATTAGCGGCGAGGGCGCTGGCAGCGTATACGGGGTATGCTTCTACAGTAAAGGTAAATATCCCGGAGAACACAAGCAACGTTCCCATGCCGAAGAACGTTGATCCGATGATCGGCAGGATCCAGTGCACGTGTAGGAGTGTGGTCCAAGCGAACCAGAAGAGTCCGATGGGGACCAGCACGCCACCGGCGATGGCGGGGGGAAGACGGAACTCTGGTTGAGATATTTGGTTGTGCTTGTGCACTAGGTGGGTGTAGTTTTTTTGCCAGATCGGGTCGGTTAATGTGGCCAGGCCCATACCGATTATCAGTCCGATGAATGTCAGGCCGATTTGCTGCAGGGAAAAGTGGTGTACGTTCGCGAAGACTAGGGGGAAGGCTTGGAAAAAGAGGTACAGGGTTCCCAGGAGGAGTGCTGAGAAGATACATAGGAGCAGCAGCATCGGCTCGAATATTAGGAGTTCGAAGGGGCGGGTGCAGGACAACAGAACTGTAGGGGCTATTGAGCGGGATAGCTTCTCAATTGGTGCGCGGTAGCGCGGGTCGCCTGTTGATTTTCGCAATGAGACGGCTCGGTCTCGGAGAAGGACTGGGTGATAGGTTTCTGGGACGAAAGTGTAGAGACTGGCCAACATGAAGACCGACCAGATCATTAGGACCCAGAACGTCCAGCGCCAATTGATGTTCTGGTTGATAAACCCACCGATGAGAGGGCCCACGCCTGGTCCCATCTGAAATCCGTCAGTTTTCCGCCTAATTTAGCGTTGAAATTGATCTCACAAAAGTCGAAGCGGTGTACAACATCATGGGAGCCCCAACTTCCGCATCCTTGAACATGTCCCCCATGGTTCCACCAGCAACAGATAGAAAAGCTGACCCGGCCATACCAGTTAAAAAGCGAAAAACGAGCAGCACGGCGATATGCCGAGCGAGGGCGCAGGGAAGAAGGAGTAGCGTAAACAGCGAAAATGAAACGAGGTAGATCGGCCTCCTACCATAAAACTCCGATAGCGGCCCGAGGAACATCGGCCCGATTCCCAATCCCGCTACATAAAGCGATAATCCACTGACAGCGGCCAATTGAGGAACGGTTAATTCAGCCGTAACCTGGCGATAGGTCGAAGTATACATGGAAGATGTGCACGTCCTACCACATAAATTTAACTCATCAGTTGATCTTCCTCCTCACGGAAAAGGCTGGGAGCGAAAAAAGCAAATAAGAAAAAGCAATCAGAAACTTTTCACTCACACACAGGCACCGCCCAGACTGACGACCCATGCAACGAGCCACCTCCGAGACTTGCTCATGTTCCGTGGATTGAGGGGATCAGCGTCCCCGCCAACCCACCCAACCTCGAATTCCTCACCGCCAGTACTAGATAACACGTTACTATCTATAGCCCGTTCAATGCTTTCACCATGGCCGTATGTCTGCGCCATTAATGGTACCGCTCTAGTTGCCATGATTTCTCGCGGTATGGAGGGAGAAGGGATGGTGGTCCTCTCCGGGACCGTCACCCTTCCTTCCATTGTCGACGTATCGGTACCGTACTCTGACACTCACTCGTCGCAATCTCGTCGCCAAATGCTATCAGAAAAAAAAGGGCGCAAGAATCGGGGGGGGGAGGGGGGAAGGAGGAAAAGCGACATCTTTAAGAGATCCCCACTAGAGATTTAAAGGTGGGGAATGGGGATAGAATTGACTTTCTCTGGGGGGCAATGCACTCGCCTTTTACCGAGAAGCATGCAGCGCAGACAGTACATCGTATCCTCAATCCAAGTCAACGCGATAAGCACTCCTTTGATCGTGGATTTGATTTTTTTCCTCTCAGTTTCCGTTCAACGGGTTCCCTCTTCTTACATGCGCAGTGGCGAAGCCAAGGAATATCGCCGGGTGTCGTACCATACCTCGGTCACTCAGACTGTGGGTGATTATTGTGGAGGATTCTGGGGGCCGAGGAAAGGGGTCCTAGGATGTGATTGCTCACTATGGTATTATTGTAGAAGGAGTCGCTGTTAAAGCTTGGGCTGCTGCTAGAGCCCTCTCGAGGGGTCCCCGACAGGCGGGAAAGCCGTGCACGTTCTGGGGCGGTTTTCCGCTGTCGGACCTCTTGCTCTTTCGCGGCGTCTGCGTTCTTCGGTGGGTTTCCTGTGTTGGATGAGTAACACTAACCCAAGCCTCAGTTGTGACAAAGCAGAAGGAATACCGGTATGCACAGCGCGTTACTAGGAGAGACAACTACAACGTCCCAGCACGATTATCCCCGATCCGAGCTTTTATGGTAGAAGTCCCAATGCCCGCGAATCGTCAATCCATAGTATAAAGGGAGTCAATTATACTGTTGCAGGATCCGGTCGATGCCTTGCTTGTCCCCGTCTATTTATTGGCTCTTTTTTGGCTCTTGCTTTCTCGCCCGAACAAACGGAACGCACAATACTTTCCAGCCTCGCAACCCTCCACAGCATTGCTTTTACGATTGCGTCTGAACCACCACTAGCGCGATCGCCTCCCCAGAACTGCGATTCGGAGAGGAGATGGCGCATACTGCACAGGAGATAGCCCTGGCAACGGAATGCACTACAGTAGTATTACCTACGTAGTAGTAATCACGGGGTGGAAAAGTTTGAAATCACATCGATAGAGTATGAAGTGCGATGAGGGGTTTCGGGGGTGGAAGCGTGAATCTCAGGGTTAAATATAAAGAAAGAGGTACTATATGGTAAAAGCATTGATGCGGAGGTTAGAACGGACGAGTGTGAAAGAGAGAGGGGAGGGGGAATTGGAAGTGGGTATGGTCGTGGGGACTCTGCTTTTGCTAAAACGCCGTATAGTAGCATAGGAAGCCCCTCAAACGTATCGCAAACTTTCCGAGCACTATTGAACCTTTAATTACTATTTTTTCGATTACTTGAGTGAACTATGTCTCAAACCACTAAGGACAGTTATACAGGGCCCCAACCGCTCTCATCACTTCATAGCAACTCACTCGCGATGAGAGTCAGAGAAAAGGTACCAAGCCAACAAACCTTTACAAAGTTTAATCTCACAAAAGTTAAGTCTGTCCTAGCATTTGACAAAAAATAACCCGTCTGTATCTACTCTTACTTCCCTTTAGAAACTCGGACCCCCCTCATCGTCAGCGTCTGAAGGATTATCCAATGAAGATACATCTGTAACTTCCGTAATCGGTGGTAAACCACCTGGACCCCTCGGCATTCCATCATCCGGGTCACTCTGATTCCTGAACGTGCGTAGCTCGAGTCCGTCCATCCACTCGCCTATATCAATCCCTCTTCCCCTTCGCCTCTCTCTCCTGCCAGGCCACTCCGTGAGGTTGCTGCGAGCCCACCTCATAAATCCTCGTCGGATACCACCCCGTCTCGCTGGATACCCCGGCTGATTCTCTCGTGGCCCAGGCAGTGATGAGCCTGGTTCAGAGTCCTCGCTAGTTCGATGTCTCTCGCTATTCCTGACATTCTGGATGTGATTGTAGAGGAGGTAGCAGACCACCAGGATTACTACCACAAGGGATGCCTGGAAGAAGGTTTTGTGGCCTGTGTTAAGTCCCGGGGCTTCGATGTCGTTCCAGCTGGCTTCGGGGCAGCCAGCTCGAGGGGTCTTTGGGAGCCAATTTGCAAATGGTTCTGTGGCTGGACGGGGGGTGATGGTGAATGCCGTGAGACTTGGAGTCGGCCCAGGCGTTGGAGAAGAGGGAGCGAACTCCGTTCGGAGGTTTGAACAGGGGTGTTCTTTCGTATATGAATTTGAATGACACTTGAGCGATATAGTGGACATGGTTGGATAGGGGGTGAGAGAGAGGATGAGTGGAAAGGGTTGAAAGATCCCGGTCAGGGGAGGAGGGAATGGTGGTTCTGTATCTGGGATGGAATTCATTCGAATGTTCGTGGCGGAGGTACGTAACTTACCCTTTGGATCTTGGAGTGGTATGTACCTCTACAGTAGTTTTGGTCCACTGTCCGTTCACAGATGTAGCTTTCCCAGATTCACTTAAACAAATAGTCCTGGGTTACTTTCCAATTTGGGCGTTCGGCTTAAGATGGAACTAAAAATTGAAGCACAAAAACTCTATCCGGATCAACTCGTACGAGACAATTGGGGAGTAAATACCCACAGCCCATGGTTCGTATACCACCACGTGACGGACCCGCCAGTAACACCAAGGCAAGAGACTAGCAACTCAAATGCCCCCACAAACGGGCCAATCCGAACTCGGAGGTAATGATTGATTGCTCGGATTTGTGCGGGGGAGGGGGGTGCGGCGCGGCCCTGGAACGGGTGAAGGGGTATGATAGGTGAAGAGAGGACAAAGCTCGGAATGGCAGCTTTGATGTGGGTCTTGCGCTCAGAGCAGCTGTTGTAACTCGATGAGCCTTTGCCCACAATCTTTGCTCCCCGTCGATCGCCTCCCTCCCTCTATTTTTTTCGTCTAGACAAAAAACTGCGTGACTGCTGAGTTTCTTTTGGCTGATGTCATATCGGGTATTGGTTAGTGTACTTGTGTTTTCCCCATCCATGGCTACCTCATTAGGTTTACTAGATCGCATTGTGCATCAATTTTCAACGTTGCCGAGATCGCAACCGCCCTTAACTTGCCGTAGAGCTGCGCAAACGCGATTATATAACAAAAATGGGACTCCAGGGATCGCAGCACATCGCTCATATGGACTGCTTGCTATAGTCTATGCGGGTACGGGGTTAGCAAGGCTGCTGTTATGATAGCACGGGAACCTTGTCGATCCCGATAAACCGGATAGATCATAGATGGTTTTGCCGAATAGTACGGTACTTGTATGGGTTGCGAGGAAGGGATATGAGGGGATGGTGAAGTTACTCCAAGTCTTAAGCTGGGTGGTGGCAGGAGGTTCCTCTTCGCTGCCTTTCCTCCCCTTCCACGGCTCGACCAAAAGATTGTTCTTAGAAGTTATTCTCGCACGCGATCGAAGCTGGGAATTTCTATTCACTTGCAAGTGCGGTCGATTGAGTATCCATGGGTCCGTGGCCATCCGTAGAGCTTAGCGTCAGGGGGAGGATGTATCCCGGTGGTGCTGGTCTTCCGGCGTAATATCAAGCTTCCGCCTGTTGCCCCGGATGACCTTGAGCAGGAAGGAAGCGGTAATCTTAGGGTGGTGGCTTGGCCTCGTGGATCGACTCAAGCTCTGCAGATGAACACCTGCACCCACCCAAACGAGGCAAAGGAAGGGATTGATTGATTGGGCAGACTGCTCAAGTATAATTTACCGGTACTATCCCGTTGTCTTGGGGTCCCAACGACACTTCCTCGTCTTCAAAGTGCGCGTACAGCGCCATATAACGCTATCTATTATTCGCCCAATAGCGAACTGGCACCGCCTAGGTGGTAGGTGCCCTGATAGTTAGTCTAATTGGTGGGGATGTCCTTTCGACCGACCGGTTTTTTCGGTACTGGCCATGGGAAATGGTCCGTGGACCACTAGAGTTTCCTGGTTGATCCTCCTTGGTGGGGGTGTGCGGGGATCCGGGCATGAGATCTTGGTTTGTTACCGGTAGTCTACTACCGGTAGACTACCCTCTCTATTTCCCCCGCACCGACTTACGACTTATCCCTCCTAAATTATTTGGCTCTCCGGAATTGGAAAGCGGCCAATCAAACTTCGCAACCCGGTCACCAGTTTTTTGGGGGTCAAGTTCATGTCCCGGTGGGGGTGGGTAGGGAAACTGGAGTTTGGGTGGATGTGTGGGGCTTGACGGGAGATTGACCCAGGCGGCATGGCGAGCCTGAGAACATGGGTGTCGGTCAATCTTTGGGGGGGGGATGGGGGACGGATTCCCTCAAATCCTCTGAGACCTCGCACACGAGGGACCTCGGCCAACTTCGGCAAGGGACAAAACGTTGGGCTTTATGGGTAACACCAATTTTGGTCGGGTTGAGTTTGTGCTGGGCTTAAGGATTTTCAACCCGGGTGGACCCTTGCGGGGCTGGGTGCGATGACATACGAGCCGCAGATTTGTGTGGAACGCAATGTCAGAAACGAAGAACACGAGGGTATATTAGCAACAAACGCATGTAACTAATGGTGCATCGCGAATGAAATTTTTAAGGAAAATTTTTTGAGTTAGGAAAGGAGTCACTAATCTAAGATATTAGAAAGATTGCACTAGAACCCGGCGGGGGAATGGGTGTGAAGAGAAATACAGGTGTAGAAATATAGACAAAAATTATAGGCTATGATTAAGGATTAATCGCTACATGAAATAGGGCCAACCACGTTTGTTCGTGATCGCTAGCACTCATTCATGGATGCTTATACTTAGGGTCGTGGGCCAATGGTTTGCCCACTCTCATGGTGACCATCTGAAGGGATAACGAAGATAAGAAAAGTGAAACTGCAAATGGTAGCAGAGGGTAGAGAAAAGAACGTGGGGAAAAGACATCGGTCAACTAGGGAGGCATCATGGGCAGGGGAGAGAAATGTCAAATTTTGGTCGCGAATATCAAGCCTTGCGAATCCTTTTAGAAGGGGGTTCAGGTTGCTCGGAAGGGCCATTTGAGGTGAGGTTGGTTGATATATCGGCCTGGGAATTTAGGAATGAACCTCTCCGTTCGAGTAGCAACTTCACAACTCCCTCGTGCCCTTTCTGGGTAGCCCACGAAAATGGTGTTCTACCATTCTTATCCGCGAGTTCGGGGTTGACATCGCTCCGATCCAATAGTATCTCCACAACTCCCTCATGCCCCTTCTCGGCAGCCCACGAGAGGGGCGTTTGTCCATATTTGGTGTCTACTGCATTCGGGCCAACACCTTCCTGTTCCAATAGCACCTTCACAACTCTTTCATACCCGTTCTCGGCAGCCAGTGAGAGTGGGCTTCGGCCCCAATAATCTGCCACTTCGGGATTGACGTCAGTCCGTTCCAGTAGTATTTTCACAACATCTTCATGCCCGTTGTTGGCAGCCCATGAGACAGGCGTTCGGCCCCAATAGTCAGACTTTTCTGGATCGATGTCGATCCTTTCCAATAGAACCTTGACAACTCCCTTATGTCCATTCATGGCAGCCAATATAAGGGCCGTATTACCTTCGGGGTTCATTGCATTGGGGTCCAATTCCTTGGTTTTCAATAAAGCAATCGTTATATCCACAAGCCCCAGGAATGCTGCGCCGTGAAGCCCTGTGAATCCCTCAGGGCTTCGTTTGCTATACCAGGGTTGCTTTCGCCAGTACCCTGCGTGCAATAAGAGTAGGTTTGATGACAGATGCCTATCGAATCCATCCAGTAGCGTTAGTGCAAGTGATATCATACTTTCGGTGGTTTCCCTTCTAGCGTGTACTCCCCAGTAACAAGATGCATAACCGAGAAAGGGGGTTGTTGGCGGGGCCGAAGGCAGCGCAGGTGAAAGATCCCTGACGCACTGGAAGTTGAGATAGGTCAAGCAAACCTCGGCAATCATAGAGTGCGGACAATGGAACAGGGTGGGGTTATCCGAGAGGTACTCCTGCAGAGTGTAGTGGACAAGGCGGACCGTAGAAGAGGACACCTCAACAGTGAGAAGACCTAGCGAGCATCGTAGGACCATTTCTATGCGAGGAATGTTCTCTGTGTACGGGTCCAGAGACCCTTTCTCTACACCCAGCGCATGGCATAACTCGACGGCATGTAATGGCCGCTCCGAATGCGACACCCACATTAGGGCCTGCATGGCAAGTCTTGATTTACCCCGCGTCTGCGCCTTCATTCGTGCTAAGGTTCCTGTGTACGCATCCCCTAGACTTTCCCCTTTTGTCATAGCATGGAGCATTTTCCTCCTCTGATGGATTGTAATCTCCCCCATAATGGCGTCCATATTGAGGGAAACCAGGATGAATCTATACAGCATTGTTAGTGAGTGGCCCAGGTTTTATTGGGAAAGCGCCAGATTTTCCTACTCGCATTTCGGAGATTTTTTCTGGGATTACCCTCATAATATCAGCGCGCAAATCGTCATCCATCGCGTCAGGTTCGGTGTCGTTCTCCAACCTCATGACCAGAAACGATTCAATGTCCTCCTTGGTAGGACTTATAGGTACCACAACCGCCCCGGCGAAATGTTCCCTTATTTCTTGCAACACTAGGGCCCTCCCGGTCAGGAATATTCGCGTGTTTGACGAACCTTGAACGATGCCTTGCAGTGACCGAAGAAGGTCTAACCTATGCTTTGGGAGCGCTTCATCCAACGCGTCGATACAGATGAATATTTGTGGTAACGATGCAATGGTCGTCTTCACCAATTCCAACAGATCTGGAAGTCGTAGATGCCGACCGCCAAACTCCCTTTTCGCCGTTTTAAACGCCTGCCCCAGGTGTTCCGGAAATTCCCCTCTGTTGACAAGCTGCTTGAGGATGGCCCCCAACATGTTTGTGGTGGACTGTTCGTGTTGGGCGAGGAAATCGCAATATAGCCCCACCACGGCGATATCTCTTTTACTAGCTTGATCGCAGAGGTGGTCAATCACGAGAGAGCTAATATTTCAGTTGTTAGTGATATTTGGCTTATCCATTTCTGAGAAGGGGGTTCCTACCTCAAATATGTCTTCCCCACCCCCGGATCCCCGTAACAGAACAATACCGGCGAAGCGTAGCCATCGCCTCCGTTGGTCTCACTCCATTTTCGAAACTCGTTAGTTTCCAGAAACCAATTCCCCACACCATCGACTCGGTCGGTTCGCACACCATGGTGCCGCTGATGAGGTTCGAGTGGTGACAACCACTCCAGAATCTGCCGTTTCTCATCATCTATTCCCGCGGTGATATTGACGATATTGGTGTTGAGAGAGTTGAAAGAGTTGATATTACCGGTGATCTCCATGCTCCGTAATGAAATGCTCCGTAATGAATTAAATGCGTGGAGTTCAACAGGATCCCATTGAACTGAAGGCCAGTCTGGTGATGAGGTTCTGGCGTTTCACAGGGGCGGTTGATATCCCTGCCTGCCTGCCAAGAAAATCTGTGCTGAATACAATATCTTACGTTAGTGCTGCGACTCACTCAAGCACAGTCTTCGCCGTACTAACTACCAATCGGTGTCCCTAGGGCCGGGCCGATGTGGTCGGGGTGCCGGGATCCCTGGCTCGCCGCGGTTAAAACCAGTTGGATGGCAGGCGCCCCCCCCGGGCCTGAAAATTTATGGGAATACTCAAATGTAAGTTTGATTTTGCACCAGGGGTATTCAGAGGTAAAAAGATGGGTTTTCAGTAACGAGTAAACACGGGGGGCTGCATTAGGTTACTTTAAGGTGTTAGCCAATGATGACCACACATTTCGAGCATATTTGAATGAGCCGGGGCAATCGGAGGTAAGTTATCATAAAGTGTAGATGTTAAAACAGAGGTTATAAATATCGCAAGATCTCTGTATTTGTTAACAACAAGTTAGACATTAGATGTTTTGCTGGAGAAAGGATGATTATTTTATTTTCAAAGTGCGGTATGATATTTTAGCTCTACGATAGTACCAGTTACCAACCTCTTGACTTCGGCAACCACCTGAGAAAGAAGGCACCGTAGAAACTCATATTATCTACTATCTCCACCAGACCCCTATCGTAATCTCCCTCAATACCGGCATCAAGCCTACGATAGTGTTAGTTTGATAGGTTACAAGAATTGGAAAATACTAGTTAATAAGATCCACACGGTCTGTACGCTCAGGCTTTACTGTGCGAGGAAAACACCAATCCTCCTGACAGTACTCGTACGGGTTTTTTGTTTCTGAGCACGGAGATTAGGGGGGTGGCGGAGATAGTGGATAGCACTAGTTTAGAGGATACTGGTAAAGTAATCGCGTGTTGACTGTTTTTGACTGCGCCAAGCTTACATGAAACAGCAAAGTCAGCTAACTTAAGCTTTCCCACGTTTTTAACCTTGAATGTGCCACAAGTGATCCGTTGCTAGGTCATGATCGACCTCCCCGTAGATTACGAGTACTTTACTCGAGTACGAGTAGTATCTTTATGACGTCCAATGACATAACCCATTGAGGCCAGAGTGACAGCATGCCCGACAAAGTTCTTGGGCACCATACCAATAATATGCATATATACGCCCTTCCTATCCCGCCAGGGCCCCCCGTCTCCCATCTTGCCCTTTTTCCCACCTTTTCTTTGATAGTTTGTGAAGGATATATATCCACCCTTGCTCAATCTAACTGAGGCTTTACTGCTACTGCGTGATGGATTTGTTAAAGGAGGGGTTTTTGGGCAATCTGCAAACCCGGGAGAACCGTGTTTTCGATGACAATCCGAAGATTGCGAATAACAATCTCACGACTCATGGTAGGGTTCTTCCCCCCCCCCGTTTATTGAGAGTCCCGGAGACTAACAAAAAGGCCGTGTGTGTGGTTAAGGGTCGGATTGGTTGTGGTCCGTTACGGCCTTTTTCGGCTTCATCCTTCTGGGGGTGATTGTTTGGACCTATACGACCAGTCCTCGACGTCGCGTGTTTCATTACTTTTCGATCGCGATATTGCTTGTTGGTACAATCTACTACTATGCTATGGCTAGGTAGGTGTAGCCTCCCGTTCCCCGGGTAGGGTGTGTTGTCTATAGCTACTAAGGATAATATTTTTCTTCAAGTAATCTGGGTGGACACGCTGTGCCCGTCCAATTCAGACGCGATGGACTGCTGAGCCGGACGAGACAGGTATTCTGGGTGCGCTGGATCGGATACTTTATCAACTTCAGCTTGATCTTCTTTGCGCTGTTGCTCTTATCCGGTGTTGGATGGGCTTCTATTCTATTGTTTGTGATCTACTATGTCCTATTCCATTGTAAATTTGCCGCTAACGGTGGGGGGCAACTTGTAGCACGATCGGTTTGACAATGCTTTGGGCAGTAATGCTACTCGTCGGCGGTCTCGTTCGTTCAGACTATAAATGGGGATTCTACGTCTTTGCATTATTGGTCTACTTCTTCATCCTCTGGCAAGTTCTAGGCGTCGCTAGGAAGTACGCTAGCAGGGTGGATGCAGGCGTTCACAAGATATTTTCCGGACTAGCTGCGTACACACTATTTTTCATGTAAACTCCCTCCCCACCCACTCTCAATCCTTTTCAACCACCCAATCACTTACTCATTCATCACTCTCTCAGGCTCCTATATCCCATCTCCTGGGGCCTCTCCGAAGGCGGAAACGTCATTCAAAATGACTCGTCGGCCGTCTTCTACGGCGTCCTGGACGTTTTTTCCCAAGGATTGTTCGCCCTGGCTTTGATCTTTGCCACACGGGATCTCGATTTTGGGCGCATGAGGCTGGAGTTTATGGAGTATGGTCGTATCCACGACCACGGTCGCTGGGATCAACATGAGAAGGTGCCGCATCATAATCATAATCCACATAACAACTTGCATGATGGTGCGCCTGGTGGAACGGTTGGTGGGACTGGAGGGAATATTGTTTAGTTTGTTTTTCACTTATCTTTTATGTTTTTATCATTTTTGTTTTCTGTTCTGGTGGGGTTGGCTGGACGGGTTCCGGGATGGGGAGATATCATACTAGGGTTTTGAAAATAGTTGGATTTGTGGTGGTGGAGGTGGGATTAATGGTAATTTACGGCGGTATTTAAGGGCAAAGGCCCAGGAATAACAAAAAAAAACTATGCAGAAATGGTTGCACCACTCCAAATATTCCTCTGGAGTCAAGAATAAAGCGACTTAAGTAGTAATTATTCATTGCTTGTAGTTCTGGGCGGTATTCCTGTCTACTCGAGTACCATGCTGCATTGTCGCCACCGTAGAAACCCCCCCCAACCGTGGATACAAGTATCGCATAAATAAAGACCTCGAACAAAGTTCTGGGCCAAGAGACAGGACATCTCAGGACAAGTGGCGGACAACTTCCAGACATGGCAATTTCGCCCTCGCCACCGCAGCAGCTTTTACAAACCCAATAATGAGACTCCGCGGCATGATGGTCTACTCGGAATGAAGCCTGAACCCACATGGAAAGACAATACCGGTACACTGGCGAAACTCAATCTGAGTAGCGCAAGTGGGGTCGCTTCCCCGACGCAATTCGCCGGAGGGCATCCACGGGGTCTCCATACCACAGTAATAGTACCGTACTCTCACTCGGTTTTGCCAAGAATACCTCCATGGGCGGGATATTTGGTGAGGACTCCAGCAAGGTATCGGGTGGAGGGGGAATTCTTGGCAAAGACGAGTAAGGGTATTCAAAGTTGAAAAAGGGAAAAAAAATTAGCCTACTCTCCGGTTTCATGTAAGCTTGGCACATCCATAAACAGTTAACTTACCACTACTTTACTTTACCATACCATACTTTTTTTCCAAGTAGATACAGACGTCAAGAGGTCGGTAACAGGTAATATAGGTATCTAGTCGCAACTCAATACTCACAGCTTATGTGAGCAGAGTTTAAAAAAAAAGAGAAAATGTGAAGAAAAGCAACTTAAAGTGAACTTAAACAACAACTCCCTCAAAAAAAAATGCCGCGCACTTCTGAAAAAGCACAAATCACCCAACAACTTCATGATATATGGTTATCAAATACCATTGTTCAGACAATATTCAATACAAGTGATGATCTGTCACTATTTTTTAAGTGCTTCAAACCCCTACCCTATAACCGACAACAAACCGGGCAAGAATCCACAAAAGACCTTCAACTTTTCTCTTCTCTCTTAGATAATCCCATTACAACAAATTTCAACAGTCAAGATATGTTGGAAAAAGTACTTGGAGATAGCGAGGATGGTTTAGTAGAGGATATAATGGAGGTTATCGAGCTGCTCGGGATGGGAGTGCCGGTGATTAGGTATCTCATGCCACGAGATCCTATACCTTAGAATGAGTTCATGTTCAACCATCATGTATGTAACCAATCAAATTTGAAATAGATTTTAACTAGAGAAAATTAAATTAATTTACATTAGATCTTTACAATGTCAGAAGATAGATTTATGGCATTTTTTCGGATGAAACGCAATTCCTTCAACCAACTAGTGATGCTCATCCACAACGACCCGATTTTCAATAATAACTCTCCAAATCTACAAGCCCCAGCTTCGATTCAGTTAGTGACCACCTTGTACTTCCTAGGCTTCAATGGAATATCAACTGTTCGTGGTGCAGCTTAATTGGGAATTGGTGAAGGTACAACAAGGTTGTACTGCGTTCGAAGCATTTCTGCATTGGTTCGACTACTCCCGCGAATTGTGAAGTGGCCGAAGCCTGAAAGCCATGATTTCAGAAATATGAGAATAGAGATTGAACAAGAGAGTGGATTTCCAGGATGTGTGGGCTTCCTTGATGGTACTGATATGGTACTACGATATGGGCCATCATATCACGGGGAAACTTATTTCAACCGAAAAAAACAGTACACACTTAATATACAAGGTATTTGTGATGGTAAGCGTAAATTTACTTTTGTTTCAAGTGGATTTCCTGCTTCTGTTGGTGATGCTACTGTTTTTTGTGAAACTTCATTTTTTAAGAGACCAAATTTGTTTTTCTCACGACCAGATGAGTATGTATTAGCAGATAAGGCATATCGAGTTACCCGTCGATGCATGACTCCTTTTAAAGAGCCACTTGCAAGTCAAGTAGCAGGTGGCTATAAGGATTTCAACCTACAGGTAGCGGAGGCACGAGTTAAAATTGAGCATGCTTTTGGTATTTTAAAGAATAGGTGGACTTCTTTATGGGAGATACCTATTAGAATATCAAATTCTAATGATCATGTAAGGGTAATAGTATGGATAATGGCTTGTATAGTATTACATAATTTCCTTTCTGATATGGAAACTGATGAGCAATGGTGGCCTATTCCAGAGGAAAGGGAAGATTATGAGGTGGATAATAATGGAGACTGGGGGGCAGATGAGATATTAGGTGTTGAAGGAGAACGTCAGGCTGGCACAAATTGGAGAAACAGAATGCGTGAATACTTTGTAAATAGTATGTAGTTTATGGGAAGGTACGACATTTAAATGTTTTAAAAAATTCAATAATCCAAGAAAAATATACAAATAACAATTTGAAGTGGAGCTGTTACAAAAAACCAGAAACCCTATTCATAAGTCATTCTCTCCCTTTCCAATGCCTCCTGATTCTCCCTATTTCTGGCAGTCCTTATACCCATTATTGATTGGAGTTGTAGAATCAACAGGTCAGTTCGGCGCTGTTCTGCTTTAGCTCGTTCCCGTTCCAGTTCAAGCTTCTCTCTTTCCAACTCTATCTCTCTTTATCGCAGCTCTCCTTGTTGAACGAGGTGTCGGTTTAAAAATTCAAACTTTTTTTCCTCGCCTTCAGCCTTTGCCGATGCAAGTATTCCAACCGCTTCCACAAGTGCATTCGATCCGTCCTTCTTTTTCTTTCGTTGTCCACCCTTCGATGTCCCATCCTCGTCACCATCTCCAATCATCATTTCAGGAAATCGACGCTGTTTTGTTCCGCGAATTGCTGAACTCCGTGCTGGAGTTGGTGAGTCTACTCTTTGTACCCCTTGTCCTTCTGATCGCTCGCTAACAAGAATCACCTCTTCCTCAATCCCTGTGTTCGGTTGCTCACTCCCTTGACTTTCTCTAAGCGGATCGTTGTGATAATGCCCACCCACTTCCAATCTGAAAGGTCCCTCCTCAAGTCCCAGTGCCTGTCCCTCCTCTACCTCCCTTCTCTCATCTACTCCTCCTTCCTTTTCCCTACTCATACCCTCCCCACTCACATTCTCTCCTGCTCCTCCAAGTCCTTCTTCTCCAAACTCACTTGGATCCATTGTTGATAGTCCAGCGTCCTCTCCACCTTCTGGATTGTTGTTGTTCATTGCCGTAACTAGTTGCTCAATTGTTGATGCTGTATCCGTAGTACTAATACTCAAATCATAGGTGACTGGCGGTCGTACGTTGGGTCAGTCACCCAATATGTTCTCTAACCGAAAGAAATAGGGGCATCGTGAAAGTAGTTTACCTGTTATCTTTAGTATAACAATATCATGTATTTTAAATATAAAAATAGAATATTATACTACCTCGTAAACTCTTTCTACCCTCATCTAAGTCTCTTTCAGATAGTCCCCATCCACTCTAGTTATTTAATTTGGCTGCCGCTCGATAGGCTTTTATGAGGTTGTTATACTTATATCCGACTTTAACTGCTTCTTTCGTAGGAATATGAGTGGCAATCTCACTGACAATTGGTTTCTTTGTGATTCCGGAACCCTTTTTAATCTTTCGCAAGTTTTCCGGATCCTCCAACCATTGCATCAAAATCTCGGTCTCATCTTTTGTCCAAATGGTATTGTCGGAATAATTGCGTGGCATTTTGGCAAGAATCGTCCTTGTTGTTGTTGCGTCTGCTTGGTTGCTTTGAGATTGAAATCTTAGTGTGTGAAAACTTTTCTCCAAATTGTACGCTAAACCTTTTCTATTCTTTTCCTTCCCCTACCTCCTTACAGTAAATTCTCGGGCCTTCAATTATGATACTATATTTCCTATGATATTATTGGACCATCACCTTCTGTAAGCTAATGCACCTTCCGGTCTTAACTTGTTACTAAAGGATCATCGCTCTAACATTGAATACCCTTAGTGGGTACAGTACTTGACGGAGTGCTTTGCATCCGGTATGTGATGTTTTTGTTTTTTTCTAAATTGGTGGCACGCTGGGCTGCTTTTCAGTGTAGAAAACCTGCTTTTGTGGTGGATACATTGCGTGGAAGTAGTTAGTTCTAGTCTAATGACTATCACAGGTATGATACTTGCAGACTACTGGAGTGGAGTGATTGAAAATCATGATTTGTTTGGGTATGGGAGACTGTATCATACGGTGTGGAATTTGTGGATGCCGTTGAATGAGTGAGTACAGTACTTATTTGGCGATTCCCGGATAACTTGTTGCTAACCCAACGGGTTTGCTATGTATTTTAACATTGACCGGTTTTCCGAATGAGGGAGGGTGATTTAAGGACTAGGCAAGGCGCCTCGGGAATTTCTTGGTTGACCCCGATTCGAGAATAGTTACGGATGAGCGACTGCTGGTGAAGAGGTGAAGTAGGAGAAGATGGTGAGACATATGATAATAGCGTGTGAAGTGCGGGTACTTTGGACCCACAAAGTTCTGAAATACGCCTTTGTCCATGGATTGAGGTAACACCCCCTCTCCATTCTAGTGCATTCCAATCGCAAATCACTCCTGACGGGGGATTTGTGATTAACCTGAGATGGTATCGCCGGTAGAAAGGACCAGTTCTAGCGTCTATCGTTTTACTTTAGCCATCCACGGGCATGATATTATAATTATTAAAATATTATTAGTGGTGGGTTCGGATATCTCTTGCCGAGATGCCGTCAAAGGTAAAGTGTGGCGGGGGTGAAGGAGGGAGTAAATTTACGAGTATTTCATTTCAGGAAATGTGTTGTGAGATCGTGACTATTTCTCGAATTGTCCTGGCTTGTTTTTGCTATCATTTCTCTTCAGTCGTTTTGTCTATAGCTCTTTGGGGTTAAAATTTCTGGTATACTGGCATCCTTGCAATTATCCTTTAGCGCGATTTTGCTATCCTTGAAGAATGGAGTCTTGCCATTTACCACTAATGGCCACCGGGAACCCTTGTACCGACACTGGATCTCACTGAGCATGTAGAATCATGGCGGGGTACCACTCGTTTCCTGACTTTCGCTCCGAATGTATCTCATATTTCTCTC